TAATTTGAATTTAAACCTTAGCTAAATGCCCGAAAGTTGTGTCAAGATTAATAAAGCCCCCTTTATTTTCAGTTATAACTCTTTCTCATTTCCCTCATAAGAGAGGTTACTCAGCATTAATAATCATTCCACATTCAAGCCTTTTGACATTCTGGGAAAACTTCAAGTTCTTTGGAGATTAAGAAAAGTAAGTTTCATGATGACATTTTAAATGTTATATAGTTTTAATGTTTAGACTTTCTATGTATTTGAAACGAAGTCACTTTACATCAACATAAATACACAGTAAACCCTGGATCAGCCAATGGTACTTAATTTATAACTGCAGTAAGCATTTTATGTTAGTATCTACCAGTACCTGTATTGTTTCCATTGCATTAATAAAATGAGCACTGATGAAATTAAATATTATTATATCTTCAGAGAATCGTCTGTATTGTGCTTTATGAATTAATCACGATAGTCTTTTAAAGTGTATAATGCTTCTTTTAATTTCTTAGCAATGTTTTGTCCTTATCTTATGTAATTAATTACTCCCGAAATTTGTAAGCTCACACTTAATATTTCAAGACTGGGTGAAGAGCACGTTAAATTTATTCTTTGTGATTAGAATATGTGCATTTTTGTGTCCCAGCAGGGTATTGACATTTATATTGAAAAAACAAAGTATTTCCAGTAATGACATATAATGACCAGTAAGTCCCAATAAAGAGTGGTATTATATCTTTCACTGATGATACAATTATTAAAAAAAGGCAGGGGAGTCTTGGGAGGAAGTGAGATTAAGGTTCGAGTACAATTTGCACCAAATATTAACGTGGTTAAAATAAAAATGTGCTGAGTGTGAAAAAAACAAGTGTATAACTTTTCGTAGCTGCACTGACAGTGTACCTAAATCGGTCACCTTGACATTACATAAGGTAAACTGTGATATTAAAAATTGTTACTGTGATGTGACTCTAAGTGTTAGAGAAACAAAGGTGTATATATCGATCAAAATTTGAAATGAAAATATCATCTGTTCCAACAGGCCAAGAAAGCTACATATTGAATTTTTATTTTTTACAAAATGTCTGAATTCTTAGAAACTAAACAATTATTAACACTTCACTTTGCTGTTTTCTGGTCAGCAACATACGGTATCATAGCGAGGGGAGGAGCCTATGACAGAAACTTAACTCCAATGATGAATGTTCATAAGAAAATTGTAAAAAGTATTTTTGAAAAAATTGTAGGTACCACTCCAAGAATTTATTTAAGGAAAAAATCTGTCAGACTTTAAATTATTTTATATCAAGAAATCAATTTGTTATAATTATGAATTGAAAAATGAAGTTCTCAAACTTACTTCAACTAGGTGAATGATGAACATTACACTAACGAGAAAAAAAAAATGTAATAGGCGATATAATATATAGCGTGTGTGTGAAAGCCTACAACGATTTGAGTAATACTTTAAAACTAAATAATGTACGGAAAATAAGAAAATGAGAAGTCATTGAGGAGACACGTCAGAGCTTTATCAAGAGAACAAATACACTCTTACTTCTGATTGTTGAGTTCTTCGGTAAATTTTTCTTCCTTTTTTTTTTTAATTCTCTCATTTAATAATTATTTTTTATTTTCTATTTTTCTATCATGTATTTGTGAAATGATATGTGAGGAAACAGATGTTAATCTACTGGAAAGGTATTATATAATTTAGTTGGCTTCGTCAAAGTCTGCACACAACCTGATACTTCACTATTTCATGTAGACAAGATGTATGGTAACTTGGAAAATATATTCATTATTCATCTCTATTTTTGTGTCAATAAAGGGAAAGCACAACATTGAAAAATAAATCTTAATTCTCAACCCTATCACACAAAAAAATTACTGAGAGAATTGTCGGGATATCCCCAAGCGCAATTGTGGACTTCTAGTTCATAAAACAGAAATACTACAGAGATGAGAGTTCTTACACACTATTTATTTACAGTAGAGTACCATAAACAATTTGTTCAATATAATACTTATGGGTATATAGACTTACCAGTCAAATTTTCTGCCATTGGAAGAAATGTCTGATAGACAATGACTCATGTTTTGAATTTCAAACACATCTTTTGCTATCAATTGGAAACATTCCACAATCTAGCAACATCCAATCAACTTCAAGAGCATCCCATTCAAATTCATTTAATCCGTTACAAAACTTGAGAAGAATGTCAGTTATCGATTCAATACTGAAGCAATTCATCAGTTTTACAATTCTTTAAATCACATTTCTAATATTTTGTTCTTTCTGTATTAAACCTAAACACTTCTAAGTGTAACTTCATTAAACTCAAGATCCATTCCTACGTTGCAAGTACTGAAATAAGTCTTTGTGCATTTCCTTATTCAATGTGTTTTTTGAACTTATAGTCTACTAGTTTATTTTTATACATATCACCATCTGGTCACAGTTGGAAGTTTAGTTTTTACTATTAGTTTATTTGTTACAAAAATGTGTCCTATGCACACTATTGCTTGTTAGCTTCAATTCAATTTTTTATTGTAAATTTGTTTAATTTAATGAAATCAGAACTCTTAGAAGAAAAAAAAACAGAGAGAGAGAGAGAGAGTTCATTATTTATTTTAAAAACTATTTCCTAATTTTCTAACTTTAGAGTTTATAAAGCTAAAGAAAGAGGAAAATTAGGATATTTTATAAAATCAAATTACGATTCAATAATGTATGCATATATGAGATCAGTTTGAAATGAACAGAAACAGAATTCTTCTAAAAATTTCAACATTCAATATGGCACTATCATATTTTTTGTAACTAAGTGCATTTACTTCTTTCTTTTGAGGGTAAAACTTCCTTTATTTTTATAATAGATAAAAATGTTTAATTGTACCAAATCAATGTAAAAAGCAAAGAAAGGGAAAAATCAGTTGCAGTATATTCTTTAGATATTTTGAATTTCAAAATTTTTAGATATTTCGTATTAATATTTTTGGCTTCAAACTTGGGCCTCCATTTGATTTTGCAGCATCTTAATTTGTACTGGGCCATGTAATTAAATATTACTTACGTACAAAATGAAGTGTTACCTCAATTAACAACATAATGAACTTGTATGAAGTGAACCAACTGATGTAATACAGATTATAAGACAAGAAGATAAACTTAATTTGAATATTTGAAGGAAGGATGGTGTATTATAAAACCACTCATGTCAAGCAATGAACACACTGCTATTTATTTTAAATATACACTAATTCAACTTTCAGAACACACATTTTGTATATTCATTATCACACATAACATGCTAATTCCTTTTTCATTTGTATGCAAATTTATTAAGTATAAATGAGTCCAATACAAGTATGGGCTTAAGGCATCTTGTTACAATTGAAACAAGTTGGGAACAGTATAAAATCATCTATGTCCATTTGTAGTTTGCATTTCAGAAAGAACACACACACAGGGAATGAAGTAAGTAGAGTATGAGATAGTCTGAAGATGATCCCTTATTCCATTTCAGTGTTTAATATCACATCAACACAAATTAAAATACACATGAAACACTCTTTATCACAAGCCAGTTTCTTCATTGTGTAAGATTCCTCAATCACTTGAACTTTACATTCAAAGACAATATTCCAAGTTAATAAACAGATTTTAATGGAATTTTCAAAGAGTATGCCATTGTAAACTAATTTGCCAGTTATGACTATTGTGGTTTAACTTAAAAATCAGACAACACATTTTTTAAACTTCAGTGATCTGAAATTCACAATTAATCCAATTTGTGAACATATTACTTCACGCAAGCACAAAATACAAACTACATGAATAAAATTATTTCATCCCATTTTGGTTTTCATTGATTTAACTTTGGTAAACAGAATTACAATAAACATCTAAATTTTTGGTACTGAAAAACTGACCAAAAAAATTACATAGAAAATTCCTAAGGAGAAGTGGTTGCAAAATATTACACCCCTTTGTTGTCAAATTTAACTGTAACATGCATCACAAAACATATATATACTAGTGTAAATAATGTAAAATATGCCAACAATAACAAGGGAAACAACATAGTACATGAAATTGCATACATTTTACCAAAACTTACAATAAAAAAATATCAGATGAAAATCTACTATGTTCAATTACACAGAAGTTGTCACAAACTTTAATTCATAGAAAATCTTGCTAAATTAATTGTTGTTCACGAACAACAGTTAAGGACTAGACATTAATGAAAGAAATCTGAAAAAATTATTTTATTTATAATATATTCATTCTGGTGTGAACATATATCATACAAATTCTACATAAACTGTAAATTCAGTCCCAATAATTTCCCCTAAGTCTGACCTTAGATTATAATTCTGGAAATTTTTATTCAAACTTTGCAGAATTTTCATGACCAGTGTCAAAAAAATGCTCTTCTCTGCAAGTTATTTGGAAGAAAAAGAAAGATATATAAACCATATGATTTACAGTTAATAGGAAGCATTGTTTTTACTCCGTGAAATTAATAAGGATAATGGTGGGTGGTTTTGTTTAAATTAATATTTCATACAAACATATTTAAGAAACATGTGCAAATAAGTACAGAACAGTCCGATAATATATCAAAATGTGCTTCAGTATTTCATGACTGAAATGTTCACTAGAATATCAAACACAAAGTACAAAAGTTTATTGACCAAATACACTTCACTTCTCTGACAAGTGGTTTGATCCTCTGCTTATTATTAACATAATAGATCATCATCTCTTTTGTTTTAATTCTTAACAACTTGGTTAAGAATGGTAGCACAAAGTGCTAACACTTTCATTCTTAAAATATAATTTCAAATCACAGTTAGAAAAAATCTGCTGTAAACAATTTATCTGTCTTTCAAATAAATATATGAAGACACAAATATTGCCTAAAACATATTTCAAGTTCACATTTAATAATACAACAAACTATTGATTCTAAAGTATCAATAGATCAAAAAATAATGCAAAATGTATGAAGATAAATTCTTGGAATGAAGAATTCTAAAAAGATACCCATGAAAAGTTGAATATGAATATAAAATTATATTAAATAATTCAGACAACAAAAAAAATAATGTTCAGAAAAATATCATTAACAAAGGATAGAGTTCATCTTAACACTATGAATTGTTTCCAAAAGTGTATGCAAGAATGAAATAGTACCTTCTTTTATTAAATGAAGTGACAAATCTCTGGCATTTTAATACATTGCAATTTTTATATGATACACTCCAATCCAGCATAAAATATACTCATGCCACATTTGGCATAATTAAATATCAATATCCCTACTTAACATGTTCTGCAAGGACTGTAATATACATTTAATTGTGAAAGTCCATACTGCCTTATGTAGTTTGCAACCAAACTATCACATGGCATTCAATTCACAAAGTATCAATGGCAACAGGTCTATACATATCTTATACACACACACCTTTTTAAATGGCTAATGAATAATCAACTCAGAAATTTTTCATTACATTCTACCATTCTCTCAACTGGAAGTAACAAGGTTCTTAGGAACTATCACAAATGTACACGTCACCAGGCTGCACAATGTTAAACAATATGAGACATTCACAATTAAAAGAATACAAGATGAGAAAAACTCAACCATCACATAACGTACATCATTCAACAGAAGTGAAGTAATCTATCTCACCAAAGAGAACAAACAGAGTACTTATTTAACCAGTCCTACTCTTTCAGAATGTTTAAACAGCTGCTTAAAAGACTGTTTGAAAGACACAAAATTAAAAGATTGAAGACAATCACAGTCGATTCCACGTGAAGCTCAAGACTCAAGCTGAGGCAGCTTCTCTCTCCTCAGCTGATGACAACATCGGTCACACACATGATTCTGTTAAGACAGGTGGGTCACTCAACTCGTCTATGGTCTGACACTGAGCTTCCTGAGGTGGTTCGTCCTGGGCCGGGGAGGTTGTGTCCTCTAGGCAGGGCTCTGCCACAGGTGGGCAGAGGCCCTCAGAGCTTACCTGGCCAGGAGACTTGGGAGGGGTCTGTAACAGGAGGGCACGCAGATGCTCAGACACGTGCAAAGCTGCTTCTAATGTGTGCTGTACTAGTGCAGAATGTTCTAGACACAATGTGGGTGCAAAGTGATTCAGAATGATTGGGAATTGCAAAAACAATAGTCTTAGGTTTTGGATTAAATATGACAAAACTGATGAGTCATTCTTCCCTAAGAACCAGGTACTGAATTTATGCCAATATGTTCACTCAGCTGCTCTGAAGCACTATGAATCTCATTAATACAAGTAATTGTTCAATACTTGCATTTTGAAAGTGTTTTGTAATTCTCTTCTACTCATTCCAGAAAAGAAGGATGACAAAAAATCAAATCATGGAAAGATGTCAGTGGCAAAATCAAATGAGGGCATGTACTATGTTGTGGATTCATCACATGCTAATAGTATAAACCCTGAATATATAAATCAAGTAAAACTTTCCATATGTTACAATCATAATATAATTGTAAGTATTCTGAATCACTCCTCATGAATAATTTTGAAGTAACATACGTATTTCTAATTTTGTAATGGCAATTCATTATTTGCGCAGCACATCAAATCTCATTCTGAGATGATTTGGTAAAAACATGATTATATAGATCAAGCCTGTACAACTCGAGTTTTGAAAAAATTCTAGGTTTATAATAATTTAACCTCTCCTTTAATTCTTTTCATATTTACTTATGGCAATTTTTTTCTCCATTCATTTCTTCAAATTCATTAATTCTGAAAACTTTTACTATTGTTATCTGGTTACCTAATGCGCCAAAATTGCGAAGGTGAACATTAAAAGCTGAAGCATTACCAAATGTGCAATTTTAATTTCAGGTGATCAACCTTTAAGTGTAGTTAAGAGAAAATACAAAAATGTTTTCAATAAAATATGGGATTCAATATAACTCATGAAATTATTATTTTGATGAAATGTATGAAATATTTATGTTCTGCAAACAAATTTTCTTTCCTATACATTTTAGCTTATTTGTATCATGATTGGTGATCATTCTGGTTCATTTCAATTCAAAGGTTGGGCAAGGCAGATCTAGATGCAGTATAGTAAGAAGCAGATTGGTGTGCTTCTTTAATTTAACAAATTAATGTTCCTCAACCTCTGATACACAGGAGCACAACTAGTAATTGGTTGCTTTATTTTTGCCCTTCAGAAGAAAAAAGATATAGTTTTCCGACACAGTGCAAAATCAGAATTTTTAATATCATACATGTTCTTTCTTGTTAGATAAACTGATAATTAAGTTTCAACTGAAAGTCTATTTTAATAAATCATAAGCAAAAGTTCTAGGTTGCTTAAATTATATTTTTAGTACCAGATTGGAGTATTAATTTTACTTATTACAAGTCATCAGGAGATCCACAGAAGGTAAACAACATTAAAAGCTTGCAGCACCTTGCTGTAAACCTACTCAAAACTGTATTTGTGCAACCATATTTTCATGAAAGGAATTTGTGAATTTTATGCATTCTCAAAATATTTTATTCTATTTTTCAATAATTTGGAAGTATTTTCTGCAGTCTTTTATCTCTTTAATGGTGTTTTTTACAGAAGAGACTTGCATCTCCCTGGAAGATGGTTGAGAATCACCATTTTTTAAACTACTTTCTAAACTCAACATGCTCTGCATTTTTGTGCTCCAGCATGCAAGGCAAATCTTTCTATGTCCTTTCTGATGTGACAGAGGAGTTAGAAAGGTTTAAATGGGGAAGATACAGAAAATTTAGTATGAGAGGAGGTATCCAAATTCCACTTCGTCTATCCTTACCAAGTCATGCCGTGGACTGGTATGCAAAGTCTCATCATCCGAATAATGATCTAGCTCCCCTGCATCTGTTTCGGTGGCTACTGATCGCTTAGTGGCTGGCTGCAGAGTTGCATAACCACGAGTTCCTCTGGAGAAACTGTTCGTTATTTTCTCCTTTTCTGAAGAGCCTAAGAATATAAAAAAATTACAGTTAATTTGTAAATATAGTCAACAATAAGAAAAACATAAAATTTGTGCTAAGAGCACAAAACATTTAATCAATTACTTGGACTATGAAACATTTGTTAAATTTTGTGGAAACAATTTAAATGTCACCTCCAAGTTCAATCGAATATAAAAATCATCAAATAATCACATAGACTGAGAATAATTTGGAATATGTTCACACCTTTATTGCTGAGCTCTTCCTGAGACTTGCTTGTAGTATGACTGAACGCTGGCATACGATATACCCAATGCTCCAAGCCAGAGCCAGAAGAACTTGTAGATGCAGCTGAACTAGCAGAGTAGCTACCTGAGATGAGACCTCGACGCTGGTAAAAGAGGATATAGGCTGCAGCTGTCACAAGACCGGTGTCAGACACAGGTTCCACACGAGTATCATCAAAACAATACCACTGTGTATCATAAGGGTTGCGGCAATATGCTGAAAAAAATAATAATAAAAAACTAAAGAATAATTCTTCCTAAAATTAATCTTCTTAGAGTTCAAACTAGGTGTAGTTAATTTTTGCAATTTAATTTATTTTAAGGCTCTGACAATTCACAATTCTTTTGGTGAAAATTTCATCAACGCCTTGGATGTGATATCAACACAAAAACAATAGTGTGGAAAATTAACAAGCACATAATGAAGGTTGCCTATTTTGGATCAATATCTTTTAACATTAAGTTGTTAAATCAAACATTGATGCCTTTGTGAGCAGGTATGTGGGTATCTGAAGATATCTGAAGGTAGCAGGTATTTGAATTTCAGTTGTGTTCCAGAGACCGTAACTTTACTGTGAAAAATGGTCCAGACCACTACCTTTTAACTGTTCCATTCGCACTTTTTGCTACTTCAATATGTGAAGTATTATAGATGGTATGATAGTACAATATTTACTTTTGGTCTATGAGGACGACTCTGAACATGGAATTCTCCACAGTTTGATTTTGGTCTGAGCACTTTGCTTCTGTAGAAAAATGGAATCGTGAGCAAGTTTTACTTTCAATGCATGGAATGAATTCATTTGAGAAAGTGGGGTAGCAGCCTGTACCATTTTTCATAGTGGAATTTTGGTCCATGGACAAGAACCACAACTCAAACTGGTCACATCCCAATTTGTAAATTAATATAAATATATAAAGTCATTATTGCAAGTGAACCCCACCATTTATATGCGATCCAATAAGGCTACATCCCTGCAAAGCACATACAGACAAAAAAAACTCATTACCCCAAGGGGTAAATTATGCACTACATTTATTATACTTCAACATAACTACTTTTTTCAAAGGTGTTTGGGTACAGGGAAATATATAACATTTACCCAAATATGCAATAAGGTTTAATCCCAAACATATGAGGTCATCTTATATTTACATCCTACGTCTATTGAATTGAGGTCCATGCTTTTACAATACCTTTCCATGTCAAGAAACTTGAATGCTGTTGAAATTATAAGCTGCAAATGGGATAAAAAGTCTCACATATCTACAATCCTTTAGACCTGACCTAGATGATTTCTTCAGAAGTTTTAGCATGCAGACGCATGCAGGCAATGACTCTGCCACCACTAGAGCTGCTCTAAGTAGGCATGCGTTCACTAAAACTTCCAAAATTCAAATGGAATCGAATAAATTGTGTCATATTTGTGAATGTATTTTTGGCATTCAAAATGAACTTGCCCTACAATTCAGACCAAGGGCCAGTTAAGTGAGAATTGAGAATGGCATTGTAGTAAGAGAAACACAAGGCTAAATATTAATAAAAATTATTGCTTTTCGTTTCATCGATAACTACGTTGTATGGACACAGTTCAATACCTGGTGAGCGCAAATCTGTGTTTTGCTGGTGATCAAAATGAAAAAAATCCAAATGATCCAATTCTTTTAGACAACTCTTCTATTAAAACAAAGTGAATAAAAGTTTTTAAAATATGCTTTACAACTACATGAAATTTAATTTTCCCCGTTCTTCAAACTTACTTTTTTCACAAAATTCCCTTTACCCAAAGCACCATTGATTTTATTTAGTAATGATGAATCACTATGTTGAATGTTTTTTCTAAACTTAAATCTGAAGATTCAATGACATACCTGTGTAGTGTCCTCCTTGAAGATCCTCCCCATGATGATTGCAGATTGCATATAGATCATAGACGTTGTCATCTGGGCGCTGAGGAGTACGTCTGGGCCTCTTCCAAGGTGACCAACCCAAACCGCCCAGCACTCCTCCGCCCTGAGGTCCATTGCTCGGAGAGTTGACAATTCCTGGGGGTCCAGTTATTGGCAGCCGCGTGGCAAGATGAGGACTCATATCAAAGCCATAAAGAGGAAAGTCCACAAGTGTGGTGAGCTTTGAGGTAGACCGCTGTTTGCAAGACTGCTGTAATGAAAAAGCATAACTTTTTTTAGAGGTACTTCATTTCTTTGTGCAAAAAAGTAAATTGGCCTACAGATATACAGCGAAAGATTTTTTATACATTGGAACATGTTGTTGGTCATACAGACAAATTCAGTTTCATTTAAAGATGTGTTAGAACAGCGGGTATTATGGTAAAATTTCCACAGCCCCAAAAAATTAATTGCATTTTGAATAGAAACTAGATGTATATGAAATTTTGCCAAGGAACAACTGAGCAGCATGTTATTGTAAATTTCAAAAACCTAAATTTCTCCATAAGTGCTGAAGACATATTTTAATTTAAAAAAAAATATATCTATCTCTCACTTTTTCTAAAATAAAAGTAAAGATTTATACAATGCATTCTTCACTAAATGAAATTTTATTTTTTGCTTAAAACATTGCCATGTACTTGCTGTTTGAAAATAAAATATTTATCTCACCTGTCTGAAACGCTTAAGATGAATTACAAGAATGTCAGGAAGAGACCACAAGCCAAGTTTCTTGACTACTTCTTGTTTTCTATTACAATATGGACAGTGCCAGGCATCTTCGGCACCCAGAACTTCTGCTTTTGTATACAGCTGTGAAAACAGATTTTATAAAATCAATTGAATTATACTGTCTTTAATTCACTGCATATAGTGCATAGAAGATTAGCAAAACTGAAAATGAAGTATCAGTTATTGGCATTACTTATCTGTGAATAGAAAAAAACAAATTAAAATTTTACCTCAAAGCATTCTTCCAGAGTGACTGTTCCTCCTTGTTCCGTATTTAGTTTCAATTGTTTGACACTGGCATGCTCCTCAATCTGGTCAGTATCATCTGCTATGATCCTAAAATGATAGAACAGTGTATTGTAATCATTCTTAAAAATAGCGTAGAAATAGAAAAGAGAAGACAGAAAGAAAAGGAAGAAGAAGAAAAAAAAATTCCACATTTGCTTCCAAGAGCATAAAAACATCAGAAATTAAATCTACAGATTTTGTTTTTGTTGTATGATGCAGAGGACACACAGATTCTGAAATATGATCATTAGTTAAAAGGATCACTTCCATCATGCAAGTTTAATAGTAAATCTTCATTTTTATGCAGCTAAAAAGTTATAATTTACTTCTTAGCGTGGTGTGCTTTTCATTAAGATTGTGCAAAACATAAATAGTTCTCCTACTAACGTTTCCTTTGCTTGAAGATCCCACTCCAACACCAACTTAAGGTGAGGTGGTCCTGCATCTTCTTCGCACAAGGCCAGAGCTTGTTCCACAGCCTCCATATAAAGAGGATGATCTAATGTAGGATCCAGGTAGGTGCCTGCACCTCCCAAGCCATCAGCAATTCGCATACGAAACAAGGGGATCTGAAATAAATATATTTCCTCAATATATTATGAAATGCTCATTAATACTGTCAACATATGAAATACAAGTCATTAAATATAAACTAAAATGATATATTATTTTCATGGTATTAAAAAAAATGGTTAACATATGAAAAGCCACAAATTAAGTTATTTCTTCCTCTACTGTAATTATGATTACTTATTTTTATTTCTACTTACATCCTGTGAATTGACTAACACATCATCATGCAGAATGGTATTCATTTCTTTGAGTATTAACTTTTGCAGATCTTCATAAGAAGTTTCACGCCCAACTTGCATTGTATACGGGCTGCTGAACCTACAAACCACAGAGAATATTTTAAACATTTCATTTTTAATTGATTATTGTTAAATGACAGTCAAAAGTCATTGTATGCCAATGAAAAATTAATAACCTAGCACAGTGGTCATCCATGATGAGCAGGTTGACCCAGCAAAGTAGGACATAAGCCCCACTGTCTTCAGATGCTTCTTTCAGTTGAGGCAGCTCCAAGCAATAAACAGGGTCTGTCTCTCGTATAATAGACAAAGGCTGCAAATCTACAAAACAAATTAAATTATGACTTAGATATATTTGCAATTTAATTAAAATGTTTTAAGTAAAACAAAACAATTAAGCCTCATGTGTTATTTTCTAACAATAATGTATTTTTGATGATAGTGATTTTTCTGTTTGGAATCTTCAAAATTGAACAGGTGGACCAAAATAAAATTACAAAATATTACTTTTGAAACTGTTTTCTGCGCTTGAAGTAAATATGATGAATTATGTCAATATGATGTTACTGTTATACAATTAATTGTTTTCATGGTAGTCCTTCCGGCACCATTGCAGTTAGTGTTTTCTGCCAATTAATAATTTAATAGCCCCACTATAACATAATTCTATTATAACAATAATATCCATTCCACATTCTGTTATACTTTCTGAAGCATTTACATGAAACTGATTTTCTCATGTTAAGAAGAAACTAGTGGTGCTACAGAATGGCACAGACTTTCTCACACAAGTGAAGTTTTCTAAACTCTTTAGTCTGGGCTAGTATTTTGGTTTAGCCCCACCTTCTTCCCAGCTATCACCTACTGAAGCCTTCACATTTTTTAACTATTTTTTCAAAATCCTAATGGTAGAACTGAAATATGACTCAAATAATATTATAAAAGAGTAAAAACTGGTCATTCATGCAACTTTTTGTTGAAAAATGTGACTTTCAGTCTGAAGGGTCACAGGTTCCCTCTGTGGGCAGGATTGTTTGTTCCTTGTCTTTCATGTGTGTGGGTAGTCACGGAAGGCCTTGCAAGTATGTTGATCACACACCCAAGGACCCGCACCTAATGTTTTATAATTTGTCATAAGTTTTATAAAAAGTAATGACCGAGATGGGTTAATTCGGAAAGAAATTGCAGTATAAATAGTATTATGTAACCATTACTAGGGGGGAGAGAGTATGTGCTGTTTTAGCAACACTAGTTCACTATCGTAGCAAGAAATGTGAA